AAGGCAACAGAAAGAGACCTTTTTGTTTTGCTGTCAGACTTTACGGTCAGCAGGACAAGAGGGTTCTCCAGATACCAGATCAGAAAACATGCATTTATTAAAAAAGGGCTTTGAAGATTAAGAGAGCAGACTTTGTGTTCAGTCTTGCAGCTGAAGCAACAATCTGTGCAGCAGAGGCCCTTCACATACAGTTTGAAGTAATGGGATAAAGAGATATGATGTTAATTGTTAATGCAGTTCTTAGACGACACAAACATAAATAATATAAATAATCTAAGCTGACATGCACCAAAGTCACCAAACAATTTGCATAAATAGGTTCATGACGATATGAAGATCAATTATAAGATCTGAAGGGCCGTTACAAAACTCAACTCATACAACGGTTTGTATGATGTCTCACAGAAAGTTACTCCTCAGTTGTCTATGAAACGTTACCAAACCTCAAACACCGTCTTTTAAAAATGATCTTCCGTCTCCACCAGAAGCGAGGTTTAGTTTGAATCAACGGTAACTTCTCGTTCCACACGGGGAGCGAACAGCGATCTCCTGACTGAAAGCGTTTGTTGGACCGAACCACCTCCACTCCAAAGGATCCTAAAGGATCCATGACGAGGCACAAAATGACCCAACTGATGCAGAAGAAAAGGTTACATGCAGTGTGTTCTAAGAATGACGTCGTAGTTCCTCGTATCATCTGACATTTCCCTTCCTGACTCACTCTTCTCTATGTCTCTCTGTCTCTATGATGTGTATTTGTTGTTGTTTTTTGTTGTTATTTCTGGTGGACTTCCTGTTTGGTGGGTAGTCAAATCCCCCTCCAGGCTCTGCTTCTTAATTTCCTTTTCATTAGCATATGCATGTGGAGCTCTCGGGAGATCGCCGCAGTGCTCTCTGGAGAGTGTGTGGTGAACTATGAGACACCAGACACTTTCGTCTGCCTGGTGTCTTTTTTAGACAAACACACCGTTGTTGACGTGGCCCATGTGACCGCGACTGTATTTCAGAAACGCAGGTGTGTGTTGGGAGGCACCTGTAACATAACCGCCGTTTCCACTACGATGCAGACGTCTGTGTTGTTGTCTGTGATTGAAGGCTTCTGGTACTGTGCTGTTGTTGTAGATACAGTTCCATGTGGTGTGCACGGACACCGGAGAGTAAAACAAGAGAATCAAACTTGTGCAGCAAAATAGAAAGACTGCCGATAAAGATCCTTCAACTGATCGCGTTGTTCAGAGAAGGCTTGTTGAAATGGTTGCTCATATTTCTCAATGCTGAAATAATTCATGCTGTCTCGTGCAGCTTTGACTGTCTACTAAATATACAGTCCATTTCTTGAGAGGGAATTGTGCAGCTTTAAACCTTCTCGAGACTAAAACTCACATGAGTTGATACAATTAAGGACACGACTTGACTGGAAGACACGATTTCAGACCATTGAGCTGTTTATTTTACTACTTTGTCTATTTACATCCTTTCCAGTTTCATTCCTCTCTGTCCTGAAGGTTAACACAGACGGGTTTGTTCACACTTCATTCATCTTTTTAACGGCTGTTGAGAGTATTTACAGAGAAATATCCAAGATTCATACAAAGAATGCCTGATTTGCATATTTAAACATACAAATAAATCCGAGAATAAAAAATTAAGAATAAAAAAGACTTGTAATACAAAAAAGAATTGTCTTAAAGTAATCAGCTGGTGAACTTTCATGGTGATATCTGTTAATTGAAATGTTAAACATTTTGTGTACAGTATGTACGGCATTCAGTTGACATTTGATAACAGAGTTCAAATACCAAACATTTAAAGTAAAAAACTCAAAGACATCGGTGGTGATTAGATGTTTGTCAGCATTTTAAAAAGTCTCTCAAAGAAGCAAATGACTCACCAGAGGAAGAACATCAAATAGTTTCACATTTTGAATTACTTATGCAAGTATTCAATAACTTATGATGTAACTTCATAAAACTATTCGGGTAATAAGCTAATTACATTAGATGACATGATGTAATACGATTCATGACCTCTGAAGTAATCATACAATTAATATGACAGCTGTTCATCCGAGTGCCTCTCGAGGAGCCATTTATCCAGATATTCATAGAGAGAGAGTCATTCAGCAGCATTACTCATAACTCCGTGTTGTTGTTGTTGTTGTGCATGTGTCCCGCTGGACGGCTGCTTCACACTGTGAACGAGGCTGTCGTTTTGTGACAGACGGACGGAATAATTGGGTCAGAAGAAATTAGGCTGAATGTGAGAAATGTGTCGGGCCTCTCGACCCGTCGCCACGCGGTCAAAGCGCTCATCCTGCAGAGCTGTGAGGCGTGTTGTTGCGCTGCCAACCGGTTGTTTTCTTTACAAGGTTTTAATAAAACCTCTGACTGACGGCCAAAGTCTGTGGATCTGGGAAATGCAGAGCGGCTAATGTATCGCTGTCTTTCCCCTTGAGAGGAAGCAGCATTATTTGTTAGTACCGGAGATCTTCACTCTTGTTGTCGTGTGCAGATATTAAAAAGAAAACGTTGGTATTCGACGTTTCTTGCTCCAGCTTATTTTTTGTGTGTCTTAAGTTGTTTTGAACAATCTCCGGTAAGTGGACCTTGAGTGGAGATTCATTTTTTTAAATGCCGTTTTCAAAGTTAAAGGATAAAGTGTCGAGCTCCATTTTTAATTAAGGCAACGTGAACGAGAAGTGTGCAAAAATATTGACAGCTATGAACATCACAAAGTTCAACTTCCAACTTTCCCAAGTTTGGGAAGACGCCAATGGAACTGATGGATGTGTTTGTCTGAACTGTGTTTGTCCGGTGCAGAGCCTGTTGAGCACAGTGTGAATATGGGACATAAACTTCAGGTGTCCACAGGGCTCTAATGTGTTCACCTGTCAGGTGTTTTATCATGTGAATGTCTGTGTTTTCAGAGCAGGATTATGAGCCGTCCGCTGGCCAAATCTCTGCCCTTATTCCCAATAAAATGGATAAACTGGCCTCGAAACGGGTAAGAAAGGCATGAGATTCAGCGGAGTGTTTCTGTGAGCAGGGACCAGGTTGAGGAGTTGTTAAGTTGACGGGAAACTGACATGTGACAGAAACTCTAGGCTGGACTCAAACCCAGGATGCTGTGGTTTAACAGGTGCATGTTGGGCCCATCTGAGCCAGGACCTCCAAGGTGCTATTTTCAGCCCGTTAAAAAATGATCGTAAAGAAAATCCATTCAGCCCAAACACATGTTGAACACCAAAACAAGATTTGTGCACCATATGTTTAAATATAACAGAGCTTTAATGAAAAAAACTCTTTATTTTATTGATCTGACACGTTCAATTTAAGTGACACTTCAGCAAACACTTTCGGCACATTCAGTTTAATTGACTTTTAAACATCTTATCTTCCATTATCTCAAAAGCTAAAGTCTCAGACGTCTCCAGTTCGATCTCTTTGGCAGCACCTATTGCCATAAATAATAAATGCAGGTTTGTTTTCTCGCTTCCCTAAAATCCAAACGGTGTCAATCCAGCCCAGTTTGTACCGCTTCAAATGTAAGGACTGACCACCAGTGGACCGTAGACTCAATCACCCCCATTTGGTGACAGACACTTAACAGACATTTAATTAAATATAAATCTTTGATATTATTACTTAAACTTATCAACTTCTTGGCATTATCACTTCAGCCAGCGCTTCAACTCCTTTCAGCTACTTTACTTCAACACTTCAACTCCTATCAGCACACTAACATCAACAGACTCTTCTTCTGTCAGTACTCTTATTTCCACTTTAACACGTGATTTGAAACACAATTTCACTTCAACTGACACTTCAGCTCCTTTCAAGCCTTTAAGTGGCATCAAAGCTTGTTTCAATGGAAGCGAGCACACTTCAGAAAATGTAGCTTTTCAAATTAAGATTCTAAATGTTTTTAAATTTGAAGAAAATACACTTTTAAGGTGAGCAAGGAGAGACGGATCTGTTAGGGTCTTTGCGTCATAAATTTTGGAAATTAAAATTGGAAGCTCAGCCATGCTTCCATCGGGGAATATAGAAATAAAAATACCCAGGCATCCCTCCTTGTTTTTTTAAAACCTGAAGTGTTCTTCACTTCACTGTTTGGATGCACTTGGTTCTTGGAAGCGACTGCAGCTCCTGAATTTAATACGAAGTGACTGTTAGTTAATGGAGATTCATTGTATTTGATCCGGTCACATCAGCGTCATAAACCCACCTGTGACGGACTCTTGTTTTGATTAATACAGAGACACAAGACTCATTGTTCTCTTCAGAAGGAGACGAGGAAAGAAAAAAATCAATCAAACCACACTCTACATGTCAGAGTTAATTCACTTTAAAAGTGTTAATGACACAGGTTGTGCCTCCAGGCAGTGTGCTCGGTTCGGCTCAGGAAGCTTCCAGCAGCAGGAGCTGGACGAGCAGGAAGTATAGACAGATGAAAAGCAGAGTTCAGGAGGTAGAAATGGTCGGTTATGGAGACTGACAGCAAGGTGGGCGACTCCCCTCGCTTCCATCTTTAACTCAAAGATTGACTCAGCTTGCCAGCTATTGGGGAGCATTCTCATTTCAACTTAAGAATAACACTTAAATGGGCAGTTGGATGGCTGACTGCCTCCCTGTCAGGGATTTCTGTCATTCCCAATGTAATTGGTGTGTAAGAGGAGCCAGGAGGGAGTGGCGCCACTCAGGCTGAATAATACAGGGGGGGCGGGGGGGGGTGTAGGAGCACTGATAGATAATTTAACGCAGATCTCCAGAAGCCAGCTACACTTTTGCAGTACCTGAGGGCAGTGCAGAGGATTTCTTTCTGACATGCGATTGTGCTCCAGTGAGAGCCGACTGACACATTTCCATAATTATAAATCTTCCTCTTTTATCTCCAGTGATTAATGTGCAATTCCTCGGCGGAGAACACCAGAGAGATCATTATTATTCATAGTACTCATGTGTTCTGATAAGCGCCATGTTGTTCTTTTCTGTGTGCAGATCATTTTCCGGAAGATCAGCGATGTGAAGAAGGAGGAAGAGGAGAGGCAGCGGGCGAAGAACGAGGTGCAGCTCACCATCCCGCAGGACCATCCGGTCCGCAAGCTCTTCCAGAAGTTCAAGCAGCAGAAGGAGCTCCGCAACCAGGGAGGCGCTGCCACCTCGCAGCTGGACCTGGAGAAGAACCTGCTGCAGGTGGAGCAGCACCACCTCCTCCACCACCACCACCAGCAGCAGCACCTGCACCCCAACAGCCTGCAGCTGGGCCACTCCAGCCTGCAGCACTCCCTGCCGCTCAGCCTGCAGCGGCCCCCGTCCTCCATGCAGAACGGGGCTCCGCCCAGCAGCAGTGTGCTGACCGTGTCTCAGGTGACGCCCATGCAGAGCTCGCTGGCGTACAGCCCCCCCGGCGAGCCCCCCGTCAAGCAGAACAACTGCGACATCATGGAGCTGCAGCCCAGCTCGAGTGGAGGCGGAGGCGAGCCGACCGTCAGGGTCAAAGTCAGCACCAGCCCCGCGTTGGCGAAGCCCGTCGTCAAGGCCAGCGGCTGGATGCGCCTGAAAGGCAACACGGCTCCGGTGGAGGCCAGGAAGGAGGGGCTTAACAACAACGTCAAGGCCGTCTCTGTGGAGATGCTCTCCCAGGAGGGCAAAGGTCAGGAAGCAGGAGGGGGCGGGGATGTGGAGGAGGGCCGGGTGCCCAGCAACAATCCCCTCCGGAAGACGGACTCCTGCGACAGCGGCATCACCAAGAGCGAGCTGCGGATCGACCGGGCGGGGGAGGCGCTCCTCCACAGCCCTCTCCCCGGAGGAGCGGGGTCCCCTCACCCTTTCTGCCCTGTGCCGGAGCAGGCCCTGCAGGCCGCGCTGCACGAGACCCGGCTGGAGCTCCGGGGCGACATCCAGACTCTGGGGGGCCGTCTGGGCGCCCTGGAGAGTCAGGTAGCGGAAATCATCAAGATGCTCTCGGACAAGAAGCGTCCATCCTTGGGGGCGCCGTCGGCCTCCGCCACGCCCAAAACCAAAATACAACGTCAGGACATTTTCACCGTTTCTAGGCCTGTTTCTCCGGACTCAGAGAAGGACGACGGGCTCTGAAGAGAGCTCAACCAGTGGTGTGGAGAGAGAACCGGAGCACACGTGTGATCACGTGGCACATTGTTCTGCTACGATCGTGATTATCAGTTCAAGGGTTTCTTTTGGTGGGCATCCAGCGCTGTCGGATCCAGTTACGCCACTGGTCTTTAACAAACACTGGCTTCTTTAACATTTGCACACTGACTTCTATCTCCAAGTCACGCCAGAGTCCAGCACTCCGGCGTGACGCGGGTCCCGTTTTTTGTGATTGTACAGACCTCTCTATGCATGTCCAGCTGGATTCTGGCCTGCCAAAGAAACAACGACTGACCGTACTTATTGCCTGTATATTATGCAGTTGACTGCATGCAGAGTTTAAAGAGATGTTTTATTGAGCTACACTGTACATATGAATATTTTTCATTGATAATTTACTATGTGGACATTCAGGGTTTGCATACTGGTAGCACTATAGACATTCAGTAACAAAAGGGTTTACTGGCAAAGGGATTGTGCATGGATTATTTATTAATAGAGATGAAATAGAAGCTTGATTCTCAAATGTGATGAAGAAGCATCCCTCAACACACGAAGGGAAGTTTCTGGTATGTTTTATATATTAATTATCAATTTTGCTTCTTATAATAATTTATATTTTTGATTACGGAGATGCCCTTGGCCTCAGTTAGTTGTCGGGTGAAACCTTAAACGGTTATTTTGTTAGAATCCTCCTCGTGTCTATGCATCGCTCGGGTACGCCGCTTGAATATAATATCATTTTTTTGTTTTCATGTCGGTGAATGTTTGTTTCTTCTTCTTCTGTTCGTTCCATTCCTCTGCATGAATCAGGGATGGCTGAATGCACTTTGGGTGAAGGCTTTTTGGGGGAAATAGCACGAAGTTTAGTTCACATGAAGGTCCACTCAGCACAGTGACGTGTAATCCCACACATGGCCGTCTTAACCAGCGAGCGTCGCGCTGAACAAAGAAAACCCGGCTCAGAATTCCGTTAACCACGGCAGCTTCACCGCAAAAGAGCTCAAGTGATTAAACAAATGGAATCCTGTACTTTTTAACGATATCGGTTGTTCTAAAGCTGCATGCAAAGGAGTAGTTTTATGCTCCGTAGTACGTACACACACACACACACACACACACACACACGCACACTTCATGCACAGTGTCTCTTGATGTGAACCCTGACGGCCCGCTGAGACTTTTTTTCTTCACAGAAGGCAGATGAGTCGTTTTTTTGTCTGAAGTCGAGGTTTTTCAGGTCTTGTTAGATTCTGACGCTGCCC